AGTGGACAGACCGCAAAATAGAGGTGTGATGACTCATTATCTAGACAAGTATCAGAGGTTAACTATTAACTAACCCTTAATACTTAACTAAACTCCAATGACTTAATAATGAAATTATTCCAATTTAACACTGATATTGTCTCTATATTTTATTTTTAAAAGTTGTCATTTCTATTTTCTCCCTCTCCCTCTCAGCTCCTCTGTACAGACCTCAGAATCAGCCCACTTTTCCTCTGTGAGCTGCAATTTCTAATCCGTAAACTATAATTCTCTCTCTCACCTCCCCTCAGTGTCCCAGGTGGCGATCTGAAGTGTTAGCTCACGAGGGCTTTAGATACAATGGAGAGCCTTTCTCCCTTCTCCCACTTCTCACACATACCTGAACAGAAATGGAAGGAATGTTATTCCAAGGCCAAAATACATCTGCTATTATAAAGAAGGTCAGGCCAAAAATATCAGAAACGTATTCCTTTTTTTATTTTTTTAATTTTATTTTTTTAAGATTTTTTATTGATTTATAATCATTTTACAATGTTGTGTCAAGTTACAGTGTTAGAAACGTATTCCTTTTGAATCTCATCTTTTCTATATTAAACACAAGTGAAAAGCCATCCCTGTCTCACTGGGTTGTTAGGAAAATTACACTGAAATACCAAATGAATTCTCTCTCATTTTTACAAATAAAAGATATATATTTGCATACTTTTAGAATTTAAGTAATAGCTGTCCCCAAGATCCCTGCCACCAACTGCCCAAAATGTATGATATCTGAGGATTAGATAGAAAAGAAGCTTAGTAGCATTGGGATGGTTATATTTTCAGCTTGGTTCTTTTCCCCCAGGATTGCTTTGGCAATTCTGGGTCTTTTGTGGTTCCATTTAAATTTTACAATTATTTGTTGTAGTTCTGTGAAAAATGTCAGGGATAATTTGATAAGGATTGCGTGAAATCTGTAGATTGCTGTGGGTTGCATGGCCCTTTTAACAACAGTAATTCTGCCAATCCAACAGCATAGGGTCTCTTTCCATTTCTTTAAATCAGTTTCCTATGTCTCAGCATACAGATTGTGCAACTCCTTGGTTAGGTTTTGCATATATTAAACATAAACAGCCTAAAAGAGGAACCAGAGGAAGCAAGCGGATTGGAGAAAAAGACACCAACAGGAAATTGAAGATTCGGACTTGTTCATGAATGAGCTAGCCCCTGTCTCCCATTTGCCTCACCCACCACTCTGGCTTCAACAAGGATCTCAATAATTAGAAGTAACAGCCATTTGGGAAGCTAAAACAGTGGAAAGATCTACACTCATTGAGCAAACTCTGCATTAGACAGCATATTTAAGACACAATGTGGAAAATAAAGAGACCCCTGAAGTAAAAAATAAGGGAGAGGAATAAGAAAGTTACTATATTGATGAAATTCTCTCGTCAGAACATAGGCAGTCTGCAACAGGAAAATAAAACAGAAGATAACACATGTTTGTGTCAAGTGACTAGGAGAGATAATAGCTACTACATTTCCAAGAAAGGAGAAATCTTTTGGATGAGGCAGAATAAAGTGTGAACGTTAAGGATGGTAGAGAGTTAAAGCAGGACACCCCCTGCAAGAACAAGGTATAAACATACAGTTATAAAATAAATAAGTCCTGGGGATGCCATGTACAGCATGGTGACTATGATTAATAAAGCTGTGTTGTATATCTGAAGGTTGCTAACATAGCATGCTATGCAGCGGCCATCAAAACTCCCTCTGGAAACATGGGCACAGCATCCACAGAAGTCTGCTAGAACTCTTGACAGCCTGGGGTTACATCATCCCAGAAACTACTCCTACTCAACCTCCAAAACAAAAAGCATGTCTCAAAGATACAACCATGCCCATTTAAACAGGAAGACTGAGGATCAGAGAGACCAAAAATTAGCCCCTGGGAAAAAAAAAGACAGGGCAGGTGCACATCACTTCAATGCCTGGATGTAAGGTGCCCACAAAAGGAAATTTCATTCAATGGTTTACACCTTTTTTTAGTTTTATTGACAACCCACAGGATGTTGAGATTGGACAAGTAGTGGCATTTCTAGCATGTTTTCTGAATCCTTTACTACAATAGTGAATTTTCAACCACGCTTTTCCTACATCCTGAGTCATCTTTGCCATTTTTCCTTGACAGCACATATTCAGGTAGTATCGTCTCCCTTCACTTGTCTGTGGTTTTTCGGGCTTACTCTCTCTTCTCTATTTCTCTGGGCACACTTCCTCCTTTCCCTGCTGAATTACCATAGTCTGCCATTTGACAACTGTTTCTCTCCTCCACACGTTGAACCCTGGACACCAGACCCACCCATTTAGTGTGTTTTGATTCCAACAGCTGAGGACCACAGCCAGACAACCATCAACCCTGCTCTGAACCAGGCTCCTTCTTGAAGATTTTCCTTTCAATGGAGAAGGGTTTCATAATAAGGGCTCTTTTATCTCTCTTTTTACTTTGTATCATCAAGTCTGAAATGTACTGTAACAGATTTTCCACAGAGTTTTTTTAACAAAGTATTTGCACTTGCATTGCGTCATCAAATGTTTGCCCCCTATAGGATATAGAGCCCAGCACCACCTTCACAGCTGGTCACAGCTGGCCTTTCCCTCCCAGTGCCAAGTGACAGATTCCTTTCACTGAAGCTGGCTATGCCCCACTGTCACCCCCGGCATGAGGAAGAGGGGAGGAACATGGGCTCGGGCACAGCACTATGGAGTCTTTGGCAGCAGCCTACAGATATGAGAAGCCAAAGATAGACATTCCAGGATGAGACAGAGAGTAGAGGAAGATGTGGCGAACTGGAGGAGTGGGCAGGGGTTTGGTAACTACTTGGTCCTGGCAAACTACAGAGATGGGTGACCTGGACATACGTTTCTGAGCCTGGTGACCCAAAGTACAGCATTGCCCAATGTGAATGGTGTCCCTGGATTGTGAAATCAGGGTCCTATTATCGTCAAAGGAAATTCAGAGAATCATGAAGATAACATAGGCCCCGCACAGAGCTGGAGGTATAGAGAGAGCTGGAAGGCCCTCCTGACCCACGTGGGGAACCCCCACTTGGCTCGTTTGTTTTCATGTGCCAGTTAGTCTCCAGCAGTTCTATTTCCCAAGGGCTTTAAAGAAACTATAGGGAAGAAAAATCCTAAAGAAAGTCTGAAGTGGCTTCCTTGAGCTTTCCTGACTGCAGAGGCAGTAGTGTTGAGACTAGACAGCATGAAAGTGTGAGTGTGAAAGACAGATGATTCTTTTCAGCCAGAAATCTGGAATTACCAAAACACACAAGGTGGTGATGCGGGACGTCGGAAGCCTACTGGTGACCCGAATTCAGACCCACGGATCAGATCACTGATCTGTGACCTTCATTCCCTCCACTCGCTCATGTATTAAGCATCTGCTCCAGCCAGGCATCCTGCTACTGAGATGCTAAGCTCAAGCACCCTGAAGCCATAGGCTAGGTGCAGTAACACATACCAAGTGGGTGGATGAGACCCTTGAGGGGAGGAGGAAGGAGCAGAGTGAGCAGAAGACCAAAATCTGAGCAGGGTAGTTCGGAGTTTATAAACATGAGGGGCTTGCTTTGGCTCTGGAAAGGGGACAGGATAGGACAGGTCCTGGCTGGGGACTCCACCTCACGACCGGGAACAGCAGAGGGCACAGCTTCTGGTAGATGCTGACTTCCCCCTGGCTCCCCAACTCCTCACCGCCATCTTCTGTGCCTGTCTGGCATGCACAGGATCCAGAAACAAACTAGGTGCCCAGAGTAGCCGCTGCCTGAGCCGGTTAGTTCTACCTCTGGCCCCCCACCTCCAGGAGGTGCACCTAGAAGACAGCTGGCTCCCATTCAGAGCCTCTCTGTGACTAAGTCACGTGCTTCCAAGAACCGGTGCGCGCGTTTGCCTTTTGGCTCCCGTTCTTCGCCCCACCCTGTGAGTCACCAAGAGTACAGAAGTCAGGACGGCCCACCTTCCCAAGAGTAGAGACAGAGACAGAGGCAGAGACAGACAGAGACAGAGAAATTGAGCCTCCGGTCACCCTACAGGCGGTAGGCACGATCCAGTGTCCCAGGAAAGACACTGCCGATTCCTTATGGCGCTGCGGGCTGTAACCCCGCGGCGGCCGGGACAGCCAGAGCTCCCTGACCGCGCCGGGGAGCAGGGACACAGCGCACCCGCCGCCTTGAGCGCCCGGGTGGGGCGCGCCCCCGGCTCCAGGCTTCGCCTCCGGGGCCCCAGGGCTCTCATCTTCGTCGTCTTGGATATCGTGTTGTCGGTGAGTCCTCGCCGCGGGTCCTACCTCAGCGGAAGGCTCGCCCGGTGGCCGGGAGGGAGAAGGGTGCGGGAGACATGGCGGGGTGCCTGCCCGGGTCACCTGCAGCCTGGCGTGCCTAATGGACCAACAGAGGGCAGAGCCGGGGGAAGGAGCAGGGTCACGGCCGGGCACGACCGACCCAGGCCCAGAGGGAGAAGAGTCCTTGGCCCCGCTGGCCTCGTGAGCGGTCCCAGAGGTAAATTCCAGGCATGGAGGCATCAGGGTCAAGCTGGAAACTCCCTGGCAAGCTGCCTGGAGCAGCAGAGAGATTGGCTGTTTTTCCTTTCTTTCTTTTTACTGTTTTACACATATACCTCAATTCTAAAACATACTCAGGGCAAATCAGTTAAATAGCAGCCCGCTAGGAATCACTTCCCTAGACTGCCCAGTGCCTTCGACACCTTTGGTTGTTTCAGCAGGAGGCAGGTCCCCAGTCCTTGTAGACACGTTTCCTGCCAGGCTGCCTGTAAATGACCATTAATCAGGCAGCTGAAAATGGGAGCTGCCCTTTTCTTCCCAAGGAGAGACTGTAGCAAACAGGAAACCCACGGTGATGCACATCCTAAAGACACTGATTCCTTAAATGGTAAAAATGAAAAAAATTAAATGTCAAGCAAACATTCCATGTGTCATGAAGTTTTAAATGTTTTCATTTAACAAATTCAAAATTGAGAAAACTAATAACATATTTATAATCACAAAACGATTACAGAGTTAATATTTTTAAAAAATCAGTCTTCATTAGGGGAGACCCATGTTTAAGACTGCTGCATGAATGGCTCACTTCAGTCAGGCTGGTGTGTTTCTGGGTGAGTGTGAGAAAATCCACATAGACAAGGCCAAAATCTGATCCTGACGGTTTGAGGAGTGTGAGACCTAGGCCTCTGACATCCCAAACTCTCCTTCTCATCCCTTCTCATGCCTTTTTAAAAAAATGCATTTACAGCCATGATTACTTTTGTTATATTCTGAGTTAATAACCTATTCCATTTGATGTTTTGGGTCAGTACAAGCAGATTTCTTATTCTTTGTAACGGCATAATATTTTATTGTATGGAGAAAGCAGATGTGGGTGAACCAGTTTATTTCACTCTTGTCACTCATGAAGATCTTTTTAGACTGTATCCTGTTTTTTTGCTCATTCCAACAGCATTGTAGTATATATCCTTGTGTGTGTCGTACATGCATGAGCATCTATTGGGTAACTCCTTTTTAAAAGGGAAATTGGTGTGTCACTGGACTAGATAAGTTTATACTTTAGAGAACAACAAAGTGTAATGCAAAAGAAGGCTGGACATTTTAACTGATACCAAGAATGTGTAAGTGTGCCTGTTTCCCACACCTTTGCTACACTGAACTTGAATCCTTTGCTAGCCTAAGAAGTCAGAATGGGGCACCATACTGCTGTGGTGTTGATTCCTTGGTGCCAGTAGAGATTTTCAAGAATTGCTGAGTTTTCTGAGACTGGGAGAGGAGGACCAGGAGAGTCCAGATTAGGCAGCGGAGAGTAGGGGGTAGGGGGCTGGAGTCCCAGCTCTGCACTTGAACTGTGTCACCCAGGGCCAGTAACTGCCCCTAGCCCTGATTGTCATGAGATGAGGTCTATGTCCTCAGGCTCTTCAAAGGATGGCACCAAATGAGGCCCAGAGCTGAGCTTGGTCCTCACCCAAGTCTTTCTACTGCACATGTGATGTGGCCCCATTTCTTTTTCTTTCTTTCCTTCCTTCCTTCCGTCCTTCCTTCCTTTCTTTTCCTTTCTTTCTCTCTCTTTCTTTTCTTTCTTTCTTCCTTTGTTCCTTTCCTTTCCTTTCCTTTCTTCTTATTGAGGTATAGTTGATATACCATATTGTGTTAGTTTCTGGTGTACAGCATAGTGATTCAGTCATATATACACATACAGACACACACACACATTATTTCTCTTTTTCATTATAGGTTATTACAAGATATTCAATGCAGTTCCCTCTGCTATACAGTAGGAACTTGTCTGTCTGTTTTATATATATCAGTTTATATCTGCTAATCCCAAACTCCTAATTCAACCCCCCCACCCAACCCTGCCTGCCACATGGCCCCATTTCTGTTCTAGGTCTTCCACCCTGGGTTACTCTATCTTTTGAAGTGGGAAATCAAAAATAAATAAATAGATAAATAAATAAATAAATAAATAAGTGTTTCAGAAGCTCGGTCAGGCTATATGAGTCTTAGGGCTGCAGCTGGAGATAGCAGGGCAGCTCTGCTCCTTCTAGCCCTGGGACCCTGTGGGTTTCCACTTCTTTATGTAAAATGAAAGGAGTTGAAAGTTTGCAGGGGCTTGTGGAAATAGCGGAGAGCTGTGTGGCTGCTGTGTGAGGCTGTGTGGGAGAACGAACCACATCCTCAGGGCTGGTGTCGGTCACTCTGCTACTAGGAGGGCCACCGGGTACATGGTTTCCGCCTACCCCCTCAGTGGCTGCCACCTGCTTGTATTGGCACCATGGTGTCAGCTCGCTGGGGTGGGGCAGGAGCTTCTGAAGAAAAGGGTGGAGGGCTGTGCTGGAGGGGGCCACGGAGGAACGCAGAGAAACCCAAACCTCAGGTGATGACAGTGATGGCAGTGCAGGGCCTGAGGCCTGGCGCATCCAAATGCCGTCAGCTGTCCTGTCTGGTGAGCACTTTGCACAGTGCAGTGTGAAGAGTGAGCAGGAAAGGTATCCATTCAGGAGACTGCAGGTGGCTGGTCACCCCAGCCTCTGGTAAGAAGGCCTCTGTCCCTGCCCTTGGACCACTTTCCCTCAGTCAGAGATGGAGAGAAGCGTCACTCCACTTTCTGAGTCAGGGCTGGGGGAGTGGGGACAGTGACATGCACGGAGCATGTGCTGTTCGGCAGCTCAGCCAGAGACCTGACATTCGTTATTCAGTGTAACTTTCCTAACAAACCGGAGACAGGAATCATTTTTCACCCGTGTTTAATATAGAGAAAATGAGAATCAGAAGGAATATATTTCTGATATTTTTGGCCTGAACTTCCTGAAAATAGCAGGTGTATTTTGGCCTTGGAATGACAACTGCCATGTCTGTTCAGGTATGTGTGACAAGTGGGGGAAGGGAGAAAGGCTCTACCAAACGCCCCAGTGAGCTAACGCTTCAGACCATTGCCTGGGACATTAAGGGGAGGTGAGAGAATTACAGCTTACAGAAGAGAAATTGCAGCTCAGAGAGGAGGTATGTGGGCTTGGTATTAACACAATTCAATAGAAAGGGAGTGAGTAGGGAAGAGAGTGAAATAAGAATGACAGTTTTTAAAGTAAGACATAGGGATATTTCAGTTTTTTTTTAACATTTTTTATTGATTTATAATCATTTTACAATGTTATGTCAAATTCCAGTGTAGAGCACAATTTTTCAGTTATACAATTTCAGTATTAAACTTGAAGATTATCAGTGTTTCATCATTGGAGGTTTTTTGTGAAATGGTTCAACGGCTTTGATTGAGTTAACTGTTTCCACCCCCCACCATTTGCTCTTCGCCCCAACATTTCGGCAGAGGAGAGCTGGTAAGGTCCTGGTGAGGGGGAAGGGGCAGGCTCTGGCTCTGGGCTGTGTCTCTGCTCCTCCTTGTCCTGCTTTGGCATCAGTCAGACTTGGACTGTCTCTCCCACCTGCTTCTGTGTGGGTACGGGAGTGTGACTTCCCTGGCTCCTGTAAGATTTTCCTTCATACTGGTTTTCAGCCACTGGATTATCATTTGTTTTGTGTGGGCTCCTTGATATTTCTTTCACCTGGGGGTTCTTGAATTTTTTGGACATTTGTCTTTACAGTTTATATCCAACCTAGATTTTTGGCCATTGTTTAATATGTCTGTTTGCACCCCTGAACCTCCAATTACACTTATGTTAGAATGATTGCTATTGGTTCAGAATTAATGGCTTATTTTTTCCATTATGTTTTTCTATATTTCATTTTGAATCCTTTCTACTGCTTTCTCTTCAAGTTCACTGATTTTCTATATAACCTAATCTGCTGTTAATCCCATCCCATATGAATATTTTCCCTTTTTGTATGTGGATACTGTTGTGCTGTTTGTTTTGCTTGTTTTGTTTTTGTGAAGACTTTATTCTTTTAGAGCCGTTTTAGGGTCATAATAAAACTGGGTGCAAGGTACAGAGATTTCCCATTTATCCCCACCCGCCCCCAGAGTGGTGCATGTGTTACAATTGGTGAATCTACACTAACACATTCTAATCAGTCACTCAAAGTTCACAGTTTACATCAGGGTTCACTCTTGACTGTGTACCTTCTGTGAGTTTTGGACAGATGTATACTGTCATGTATCCATCATTATGGTATCACACAGAGTATTTTCACTGCCCTAACAATCCTGTGAGCTTTGCATATTCGCACCTCCCTGCCCCTTAACCCCTGGCAACAACTGATCTTCTTACTGTTCCCACAGTTTTGCCTTTTGCAGTATGTCGTGTCATTGGAATCATACAGTATGTAGCGTTTTCCAATTTTTTCACTTAGTGATACATTTGAGTTTCCTCCGCGTCTTCTCATCACTTGATGACTCATTTCCTTTTAGCACTGCAGAATAGTCCATTGTCTGGATGGACCAGTTTATTTATCCACTCACGTAGTGAAGGAAATCTTGGTTGTTCCCAAGTTTCAGCTTTTTTGAAAAAAGCTGCTATAAGCATGCATGTTCGGTGTTTTGTGGACACACATTTTCAACTCATTTGGTGAATACCTAGGAGCACAACTGCTGGACTGTATGCTAAGAGTATGTTTCGTTTTGCAAGAAACCACAATAATGTCTTCAGAGTGTCTTCTACCATTTGTATCGCATACCAGCAATGATGGACAATTCCTGTTGCTCCACCTCATCATCAGCATTTGGTATTGCCAATGTCCAGATTTGGGCCATTTTAATGGATGTATCCTCCATCTCATTAGCTTTATACTTTGCATTTCCCTGCTGA